TATTCGGTGATATATTAGCCTTGGGATGGTAACAGGTGATATATTGGCCTTGTGATGGTATCCGATGGTAGATTGGCCTTGTGATGGTATCAGGTGATAGTACGGCCTTGTGATGTTATTCAGTGATATATTGGCTTTGTGATGGTATCAGGGGATATATTGGCCTTGTGATGGTATCAGGTGGTATATCGGCCTTGTGATGTTATTCGGTGATATATTGGCCTTGGGATGGTATCAGGGGATAGTACAGCCTTATGATGGTATATGGTGGTAGATCGGCCTTGTGATGGTATCAGGTGATAGTACAACCTTGTGATGGTATCAGGTGATAGATCGGCTTTGTGATGGTATCAGGTGATACATCGGCCTTGTGATGGTAACAGGTAATATAACAGGTAAGATATCTCCATATTAGAAAAACGTACAGCAATGTTACCTAACGATGTGTGATGTGCATAATAATGTTATATGATGATGTATGCTGTGCACCACAATTTTACCGAATGATGTGTTGTGTGTACAACTTTGCTATCTAATGTTATATGTTGTGTGTCCTTATTTATTATTTCAATAACCATTTTCTCCTAATTAAGTATTTGAATCTAGAAAACGTGACTATGTTCTACTTTTTTATTAACTTTAACTAAGATATATTGATTAAATCTATGATATATTGATTAACTTTAAAATATATTGATTAAATTTAACTAAGACATTGATTAATTGTAACTAAGACATATTAATTAAATTTAATTGATACACAACATTTATTCCATTCCATCGTATACACTTTTTTTTACTTTTAACTTCCTGTCAGTAGCGTAGCGAGGGGGGGGCGGGGGGGGGGGGGGGACATATGTCCCCGGGCGCTGAGCTTAGGGGGCGCCAAAATGGGTTGGAAAAATAAATTGAAAGGTTGAGGGGGGTGGAAATTGAAAGTTTGAGGGGGAGGGGGGGGATGCAAATCAAAATCTCGAGGGAGGGGTGCAAATCGAAAGTTTGAGGGGGGGTGCAAATCGAAAAGTTTGTCCCCGGGCGCCGGGAAGGGTCGCTACGCCTCTGCTTCCTGTACTTTAACTTCTCCATTGTACTCCAATGTTCTAAAAATAAAACAAAACACAGCATGAATGTTGTCAGTTTTTTATTCATTAAATCAGCAAGTTTGGCCACATTCGCTGCGAATATTGTACCATAATTTCCTGGACATTACACGCTAAACAAAACGTGTCCAGGGAAAATGAAATTGTTTTAAAAGTAAACTGTGAGAGGATTAGCCTAATCTTACATCTCAGGTAATTCATTTATCTAAACTTTTTAGCAGTTACTCAAATCTACCTTAATTTAACTCAAAACCTAGTTATTCTTCTGTACAGTACCAACCCGCCCTTTCATTAAATCAAATCTAATATCAAAATTTTAAAATAAGCGTGTAATTAACGAAAATTAAAACTCACATTAACCTTTACCCAAGTATTTTAAGGTGTCGTAACAAAGCTATTTATAGAGAGCGTCTTGTTTATCTGCCAGAGGGTACAGATATCAGTGAGATCAATACAACAGAGCTGATGAAGGCTAACTACCGAAACAGGCCAATAGTTACATCACAAGAAAAAAACATGGAGGTCTATCTACACGTCCACGTACACACATACACATTCATATACACGCACGCATACACACATACACTCACAGCAAAGAACAATCGCACATCAGACTAAAAAATATTTGATGATTGAAAAGTTGGATATGACTAAAAATCTACACATTTTTAATTCAACAGATTTTTTTTTATTATTTTCATCTTTTGAATCAATAAAAAAAGGATAAATACATTTTTTTAATTTACTGAATGCCTCTTGTTCTATTTTGTTTTACGAAAGGCCATCATGTCAGGTAACCGGAAGTTGGCCACTAAATCGAAAGTAACATTTTCAAAATGTAAATTGTAAATTCTGAAATGGAATATGTTATGGGCTGCTAAGAACAAACAGCAAACAAAAATGTTGATGGTTGTGTGGCAGTCGTTTTGTTACTAGCATGACAAATCTTAGAACTCACCCGACGGTATAAGTTACACTTGAGCAGAATTATGTACAGAAAATGTATTTAAAAACTGAGACTTTACCGTTGCGTGTAGTTTGGTTGTAAAATAGTTAGCGTTTAACATTATGGTCAACGCAAAGAATAGTAATTACAGAATGATGAATATGGCTTCTTTCAAACATTTATTGTCCCATTGATAATTGAGTGGCGAATACCCAGCTCCCATTGAATAGGTGAAGTATCGCTATGCGAGGTATCTAGGTAACTGAATCAAATCAAAACAAAGACATTCTATACATTGCACTTTAATAAATACTAGATATGTTGATGCTTAGAAAACAAAGTATACAAACGGAATTATTATTATCCCCAGTAGTCAGGGGTGGGTGGGGTCATACAGTAAAGGAAATGACCCTTAATATTTACATGTTGGGGTTGCTTGATGTAAATGACATTTAGATTTATTGTTATCTGGGGCCACTGGGAATTAAATGTCCCTCATTCCCTCCCCCCCCCCTCCCCCCACCTCTGTATAGTTCCGCCTTGAACTCAGCCACAACCACACAAGACAAAATAAGTTACACACAGTCAAATGACAGGCATATTACAATGTAGGTACCCTATACTGAGCGCGTGTATTTTTTTTTACCATGGCAATAAATAAACACATGATGAAAAGATTTAATTAATTAATTAATTACCGATAACCCATTTTGAATAACTGTACAAAACGTTCCTCTGTGAGAGAGGGAAGCAGTTAGATGTACAAGAGAAAGTTCGGATGATATGTTACACCGTCAGTGTCTTACATTGTTACAAGGTCAGTGTCTTGTTACAAGGTCATTATGTTACACATGGCGGTGGTGACCTTAGTCCAGGAGACGGGTCACCTGATTAGTCACTATTTACAACGTCACAAATAGTTCACACGTGACCTAAATCATTTGGGTAATCTCTATCTTCACTTTTATTATTAGGTCATCTCATTTTAGGTAAATGACACTAGTTCACTTACATAAGGTCACTCCCGTTAGGTCATTCACATTAGTTTACTTACATTATGTCACTCACATAAGGTCACACACATTAGGTCATTTTAAAAGCGTCCCTAGCGTGAGATCACTAAAGACACAATAGACAGCATGTCAATTAATCCGTGTCACTAGTCACTAGATGTTGACACCATGTCACTGTTGATGACACCACTGGACTTGATCTTGTCTTCAAATTCACCTTGACCCCGACAAATTCACCTTGACCCCGATACATTCACCTTCACCCCGACAAATTCACCTTGACCCCGACAAATTCACATTGACCCCGACAAATTCACCTTGACCCCGATACATTCACCTTCACCCCGACAAATTCACCTTGACCCCGACAAATTCACCTTGACCCCGACAAATTCACCTTGACCCCGATACATTCACCTTCACCCCGACAAATTCACATTGACCCCGACAAATTCACCTTGACCCCGACAAAGTCACATTGACCCCGACAAATTCACCTTGACCCCGATACATTCACCTTCACCCCGACAAATTCACCTTGACCCCGACAAACTCACATTGACCCCGACAAATTCACCTTGACCCCGACAAATTCACCTTGACCCCGATACATTCACCTTCACCCCGACAAATTCACCTTGACCCCGACAAATTCACCTTGACCCCGATACATTCACCTTCACCCCGACAAATTCACCTTGACCCCGACAAATTCACATTGACCCCGACAAATTCACCTTGACCCCGATACATTCACCTTGACCCCGACAAATTCACCTTGACCCCGACAAATTCACCTTGACCCCGACAAATTCACCTTGACCCCGATACATTCACCTTCACCCCGACAAATTCACATTGACCCCGACAAATTCACCTTGACCCCGACAAAGTCACATTGACCCCGACAAATTCACCTTGACCCCGATACATTCACCTTCACCCCGACAAATTCACCTTGACCCCGACAAACTCACATTGACCCCGACAAATTCACCTTGACCCCGACAAATTCACCTTGACCCCGATACATTCACCTTCACCCCGACAAATTCACATTGACCCCGACAAATTCACCTTGACCCCGATACATTCACCTTCACCCCGACAAATTCACATTGACCCCGACAAATTCACCTTGACCCCGACAAATTCACCTTGACCCCGACAAATTCACATTGACCCCGACAAATTCACCTTGACCCCGATACATTCACCTACACCCCGACAAATTCACCTTGACCCCGACAAATTCACCTTGACCCCGACAAATTCACCTTGACCCCGATACATTCACCTTCACCCCGACAAATTCACCTTCACCCCGACAAATTCACCTTGACCCCGACAAATTCACCTTGACCCCGACAAATTCACCTTGACCCCGATACATTCACCTTGACCCCAACATATTCACCTTGACCCCCGACAAATTCACCTTGACCCACCACAACAAGCCAGAACAAGTCAATGTACTGGAGGATTCCTTACACCCGCACACAACGATTGATTGGATGTTGAGATCGATGTATCGAACATGTCAGTAAAACAATGATCAGCCATAACAATGTTCTATACAGTAGACAATTACCTTCCCAACATAAATAAAAGTGTGAACTGTTTTTATCAAAGAATGATATTCTATAAAACTGTAATGTTATCAAGTTCAATACACAAATCAATCATTGATTAGTTTTAATTGATGGCACAAGTGAACGGACGCCGTCCGATGAAGAAAAGAAAGAGAAAAACTTGGTAATAAAATGTAAGTCAGCCGTGAGGTAAATGAACTAACAAGGAGATATCACGTAATCGGTTGTCGCAGTAATCATTGGCCAGCTCAATGTGTCGTGTGTCGCCTGATGTGTCGCCTGATGTGTCGCCTAATGTGTCGCCTGATGTGTCGCCTGATGTGTCGCCTGATGTGTCGCATGATGTGTCGCCTGATGTGTCGCATGATGTGTCGCCTCAGTAATGATTGGCCAGCTCAATGTGTCGCCTGATGTGTCGCCTGATGTGTCGCATGATGTGTCGCCTCAGTAATGGTTGGCCAGCTCAATGTGTCGCCTCATGTCGACCTTCCTCTGGAAAGACTTGCCACACTTGAGGCAGGAGAAGGGCTTGTAGCCCGTGTGTTTCCTGCTGTGTGTGATCAGGTTCGATGACTGGCTGAAGGCCTTCCCGCAGATGGTGCACTTGTGGGGCTTCTCGCCTGCAATAGACACATGGACACATGAACATGGACACACGGACACTGGTCAGTGGGGCGAGTAATGGACACACGGACACTGGTCAGTGGGGCGAGTAATGGACACACGGGACACACGGACACTGGTCAGTGGGGTGAGTAATGGACACACGGGACACACGGACACTGGTCAGTGGGGCGAGTTATGGACACACGGACACTGGTCAGTGGGGCGGAGCACCCCCCCCCCCCTGAGGAAAGTCCACCGCCCCCCCCCCCCCCCCAACGAAATGGAATTTATATAGAAAATATATACTTTTACTAGTGTGCGCCCCATGCGAAAACTTAGTCCGCTCCCCCCCCCCCCCCCCAAAAAAATATCAAGTACCCCGCCCCCGGAGAAAAAAGTCTGAAAGATACACTGTTGGTCGCATTTCAACAGTCTATGTTAGATAAGGTTTAACTTTTAAATTAAAATGGCCTAATCTTTCCATAATCGTGTTATTAAGTCACTAATTAGAATAAAATGCTAATGAAGTTTCATCCATCTGGGAATAACAAAGCTGCTGTTTTTTAAAAGGGCAAATCTTAAAAGCAGAGAGCCCTTTTTTTCTTATAATTTAGACGCGGTATTCGGGTTTTCTAACAAGTTAAAAATAGCTCATCCATGCGTCACTAACGAAGAACGAATTCAATCACGGAGTTCCGAATCTTCTCGGGATTTGGGCTGACCCTAGCGCGGTGCAGAGATCTTGGGCTGAATTATGGATGGCGGAAACCGGGGCGCAACTTGCTGGGCCGGCTCCCCTTGTCACGCTTGGTTAGGCCCCGTCCCGCCGTTCACACCCAGCCTACGGGATGACGTGATGAGAAACACGCAACGTCTGCGCATGCGCGCTGGCGTTAAATTTCGTTGGCCTCATGATTGTGTTTTTTATTCAACAACAGGCGTTTGTACGCGATGTAATTTCATTCAGTTGGGTAATGTTGGGGGCTTGGGCGTACATCTTGACAGCTTTTAACAACGTCTGTGTTTCGTGTACACGCAATATGAGGGCTTTGTTTGTTGTTAACATACGATGTGGGCTTTGCTTGTTTAAATAATATATATGGGCTTTACTTGTTACAAAACAAACTGGGTTATATTTTACTATGCCATGCGAAATGGGCTTTGCTTTTTATAAACACACGCTGATTCAAAGTTTCTTTTTTTTAAACAAAACAGGTTAAAAACTGAGTAGGTTGGAACATTCTACGTGATTCTATTCAATAACGGAAGATTAAATATTCTTATGTGTGTTACCATACAAATACAACATATGCACATATATCATAAATGTTTACATTACATTTAATTTAATCGTATGTAGATTAGCACTTGCTAAAAACATAAAAATTATAACAAATTTCATGCAAATACACATCTGTGACTTTTTGTCTGTGCCTATATTTCATACGATCCATGTTCAACTGTGTGTATGTACGTGTGTGTGTGTGTGTGGTCATCTGTTTGCTCACCTATGTGTGTGAGTGGTCGTCTGTCTGCTCATCTGTGTGTATGTACGTGTGTATGTGTGTATATGTACGTGAGTGTGTGCTCGTATGTCTGCTCACCTGTGTGTATGTACGTGTGTGTGTGTGTGGTAAATTGTCTGTTCACCTGTGTGTATGTACGTGTGTATGTGTGTATATGTACGTGAGTGTGTGCTCGTATGTCTGCTCACCTGTGTGTATGTACGTGTGTGTGTGGTCGCGTGTCTGCTTACCTGTGTGTATGTACGTGTGTGTGTGTGTATGTACGTCTGTGTGTGTGGTTGTGTGTCTGCTCACCTGTGTGTATGTACGTGTGTGTGTGTGTGGTCGTGTGTCTGCTCACCTGTGTGTATGTACGTGTGTTTCTTCATGTCCGACTTCTGGTGGAACCTCTTCCCACAGTAGGGGCAGGGGTAGGGTCGGGTGTCGCTGTGGATCAACATGTGGGTGGACAGGGTCGATGACCTCTTGAACGTCTTGCCACACTCTCGGCACTGGGGAGTCAAGGGTTAATTGGTTAGTTCTAGTGGTGGGCTTATAGGGGTCAGATGGTTAACTGGTTAATTCTAGTGGTGGGCTTATATGGGTCAGAGGGTTAATTGGTTAGTTCTAGTGGTGGGCTTATAGGGTTAGGAATAGTCAGAATATTTATATGTATGGTGAGTGAAAAATACTAATAATCTTTACTTTTTGAGGGGGGGGGGGGTAACAGAATCTTTACTTTGTGGTGTTGCGAAGTACTCACAAACTTTGTTGTGAATGAGGAATAATCATGAGGGGGATAATCAGAATATTTTCTATGTGTGGGTGTGAAGTAATCAGAATCTTTACTTTGTGGGGTGTGAAATGATCAGAATCTTTACTTTGTGGGGTGTGAAATGATCAGAATCTTTACTTTGTGGGGTGGGAAATGATCAGAATCTTTACTTTGTGGGGTGGGAAATGATCAGAATCTCTACTTTGTGGGGTGTGAAATGATCAGAATCTTTACTTTGTGGGGTGGGAAATGATCAGAATCTCTACTTTGTGGGGTGGGAAATGATCAGAATCTCTACTTTGTGCGGTTAATGCGATAAGGCTGTTACCTGGAACGATCTTTCTTTAGACGAGCGAGACTCCTTGAGCTTGGGCCGCGCTGAAAGGTTCAAGGGCACGTTGTTGAAGAGGTCACCGGTACCCATGCACAGTGTCTGGTGTTGCCCTGGTAACGGGGAGTCAAGTTCCCGCGGGGAGGGAAGCATGCTGGAACTGGGCGGTGACGTCACGTGTGGTTGGCGGGCGGGGAACTGTGGGAGCGAAGGTGAAGTCAGGTTGGACAAGGTCGACGACGTCATGTGGGAGAGGGGAGATGACGTCATGTTGGACCGTGGCGATGACGTCATGTGCGAGAGGGAGGACCCCGGGCTGGATAAGGAGTCGGAGGGGGATGGGGGTGTGAGAGGGAGGGGGAGGGGCATGGGGCGCAGTGATGGCATCATGTGGGGGACGGGTCGGCCTAAAGTGGGGTAGGCGTAAGGCGATCGACTGAGGCATTTGGGACACCTGCACGGGAGGAAATCCTCTTTCCTCTCGAATCGTGAGCTGTAGTAGAACGGTAGGGTCTGTAGAGGAGGAAGGTTAGGGTTAGGTTAGAGTCACAAGTCAGTTATACAAGTATAAAACAAATAGGATCATATATATATATATATATATATATATATATATATATATATATATATATATATATATATTTATTTATTTATTTATTTATTTATTTATTTATTTATTTATTTATTTTTATATATATTTATACATACATATATATATATATATATATATATATATATATGTATATATATATATATATATATATATATATATATATATATATATATATATATATATATATATATATATATATATATATATATATATATATAATTTTGTTATTATTTTTTAGTATTCACATTGTATATACCTGCAAGACATGAGGGAAGAGGCCGGACTTAATGAGAGTGTACGGGTGCGCCTGCGCCAAAAGGTCATGGTCAAGGGTCAGCCAGGACAAAAAGTCCCCCAGAACGTCCCGGATGTGCTGGCTGTGTTTGGCTGGTTCTGTTGGTGACAGTTTGACGAAACCTGGAGGAGAAAAACAAACAAAGGAACGTGAAAAGTGCGCTCATAATAGCGCGATAAATAGTACTTTATGTGGGAAATTTTAATTAATTCATAAAATTAGAATAAGGTAGGCCTATAATATTAAGTCAAATTTGACAAAAATGTCAAATTGCATTGTCATCGGATCGGGTCTAGACCCAAGTGCCAAGTTTGAAACGAATCGGTCAACTAGAAGTGATCGAAATTTCGCTCGGCAGTTTTGATCAATGACGACAGATAGACAGAAAGAGGAAGCAAGTTAAATAAAAGCTGGGTTTTTTTAAAAATACCAATTGATTTACATTATGGCTTTTTCGACAATTATTTTAATCCCTCTTTCACCATTTTTGACAAGGTGAGCCGTTAATTAAAACACCTGAGCTATGGATGAGTAACATTCTCTCTTGGCTGCTGGCACAGGTGGGCTGGTCACGTGCCGGGGTGAGCGGCCAATGATTGGGTGGCCCGGTGATCGGTTCAGATGTCGCAATGACCGCATTAGCTACCTGTTTGTGTTATGTTAAGTGGAGCGTGCGCTCTTTAAGCGGGTGAGTGACGGTGGCGTGTGAGGGATTTGTCCGACTTGTGCTCACCCCTAAAACTATTCAATGTCTGATCTGTATTCATTTTATTCGATCGCTGGATCATCGTAAACGTTTATTTGGTGGGCTCTTTTTTTTTAATTGTTTTTTCCCCATCAAAAATGGCATTTCCGAACATTCATCATTCAAATTCAAATTTAGGATCCATTTTAAAAGACCTAGCCGAAAATTTAGGAGACATTTTAAAATACCTACCCCTAAAATTTAAGAGCCATTTTTAAAGACCTACCCCAAAATTTGGGAGCCATTATAAAACACTCATCTTAAAAATGAGGAGCCATTTTAAAAGACCTACCCCAAATGTAGGAGCCATTTTAAAAGACCTACTCCAAATGTAGGAGCCATTTTAAAAGTCCTACCCCAAATATAAGCGCCTGACCTACGACTGAAATACCGCCATCAGGCTGATTGAAGAAACATAACTCCAACCCCTCATTATTTAGATTTACTTCCCCTCCTAATTTCTAACAATAGCCGGTTATTTCTCTTTCGTATTGCATACACTTCTTTGGAGTGAGAACACTAGGCAAAAAAAAACAACATATGACGTCATTTACAGAGTCTCTCCCAGGCATCTCTTATGGAGGCTACCCCCCCCCCCCCCCAAAAAAAAAGAAATGGAATTTATACAGAAAACATAATTTTACCAGTGTCCTCCTCCACCCCCACCCCCCCCCCCCCGGAGCAAAACGTCTGGAACATACACTGGTCACGTAAATGGCATCAGTGTCTTGGCTGCTACCAGAGTCTAATTAATTAGCGCTAAAACAATCGGAATTCATCGATACTAATTGACCAATAATAATTTTCTCTTCCTATTTTACGATAGTCGCTAGCTGGGTGTTAAAGTGAAAAATGTTTTTCGTCGGACAAAATTATGCAAGCGTTTTGTCAAATGTCGAAAGAAGTAAGACGATTAAAGGATTAATTATAATCTTAATCGGCGAATTATTAATTTAAATATGCATGAGTGTGGTGAGCGGAGGATGGGTGAGGTAATGACTGGAGGAGGAGGGTTAAGTGTGGTGGCGGTGACGTTTGGTGACATCACTTCCGGCTGGTGGGTAGCGTTATAAAGGGGGAGAGAAGCGGTATCAGTTTTGGTAATCTGTATACATCATGGGGGGTAACTGTGTGAATATGTGACGTCATGGTGGCGACGGATCATGTGACGTCTAATCTCTCTTTCCCACCCTCCCTGGTAATATTAAATGTATTTATCTATGTTGTTGGCACGTATGTGCAACAATAAAGTTATTTTATATTATTTTTCGCCGTTAGCAGAATTTATATCTGTCTAATTTCAATGACGCACTTTCGTTTTTATTTATTTTTTTTTTTTCCATTTTTGTTGAAAATGAGAACAGCAATATCTGAGTACTGTTCAGTTAAAACAATCCTCAATTAAAACTACAATATATGGACACGGTTCAAATGGAACGGCTGTCTTTGTACAAATGGAAGGGAAAAAAACAATGTGCGTCGGTGCGTTATGTTGCCAATAATCAATACTTCCTATTCAAGTATATACATTCTATTCGAGGCAAAATGATTTCTTCTTTAACAAAAAAATCAAAATATGTAGCAACAAAAATAGTTTGTCTTCTTGTAAAATATTGCTGAGTTACTTAAGTTATTATTTGCGTCAGATACGTGCATATGACATACAGTATGTTTACATTATTGTTTACATTTGGCTCTCTAAACTTGCTCCCACTGGCGTGGCTCGGGGTGGGTGGAGGGGGGGGGTGCCACTAAGCCCGTCCCTAAGGTCGGCGCTGCCTTGCTCCGTGCTTGAGATGATCACAACCAATGGTCCGCCCACTGAAGAGTCACGTGATACTACGTCACTAATGCGTCTCATTGTATTTCCGCACGCCAATTAGCCCCAACAGCTTGGCTCATGTGGGTACGGCTAATCGATTGGAACACGAACAGTTGAAAGAATTGTTGTGGCTGTATTTGGCAAGATAGGACAGCTGGATATTGTCGTATTGACAAGATTCGTGTACTTTTTACTGACAAGATTCGTGTACTTTTTACTGACAAGATTCGTGTACTTTTAACTGACAAGATTCGTGTACTTTTTACTGACAAGATTCGTGTACTTTTTACTGACAAGATTCGTGTACTTTTTACTGACAAGATTCGTGTACTTTTTACTGACAAGATTCGTGTACTTTTTACTGACAAGATTCGTGTACTTTTAACTGACAAGATTCGTGTACTTTTTACTGACAAGATTCGTGTACTTTTTACTGACAAGATTCGTGTACTTTTTACTGACACGATTCGTGTACTTTTTACTGACAAGATTCGTGTACTTTTTACTGACAAGATTCGTGTACTTTTTACTGACAAGATTCGTGTACTTTTAACTGACAAGATTCGTGTACTTTTTACTGACAAGATTCGTGTACTTTTTACTGACAAGATTCGTGTACTTTTTACTGACAAGATTCGTGTACTTTTTACTGACAAGATTCGTGTACTTTTAACTGACAAGATTCGTGTACTTTTTACTGACAAGATTCGTGTACTTTTTACTGACAAGATTCGTGTACTTTTTACTGACAAGATTCGTGTACTTTTTACTGACAAGATTCGTGTACTTTTTACTGACAAGATTCGTGTACTTTTTACTGACAAGATTCGTGTACTTGTTACTGACAAGATTCGTGTACTTTTTACTGACAAGATTCGTGTACTTTTTACTGACAAGATTCGTGTACTTTTTTCTGACAAGATTCGTGCACTTTTTACAAGCTTTTATTGAACTTGCTTACTCTGGATCGAAACGGGTGAGAGAAATATCGGGCATTTCTAAGCGATCAATTTCTCTGAAATTCGGCACGTGGGCCAAGACCCGATGACAATGCAATATGACATTAAATTAGACTCAATTGGATGACTAATTAATAAATGACAAGATTCAAGTATGTTTTACTGACAAGATTGGTGTACTACTGACAAGATTCGTGCACTTTTTTATTGACAAGATTCAAGTACTTTTTACTCAAAAATGTGTACACTTTGTACTGACAAGATTCGTGTACTTTCTCCTTACCAATTCGGATGTAATCGGGTTTTCCCTAACCAATACTGATGTGAACGGGTTTTCCCCAAACCAATACCCATAAAAGCCGCGAGCTCCCAGCGCGGGGATGAAATGCTAATGTGATAATATTCAAAACTAATAGCAGACAATTGGAATCGCAGTGCTCCCCCTTGTCTTCTCCGTAATGCATTCATGCCTGACGTCACGAGTTGTTTGTCTTGGAGGAGAGCTCAATTTTTGTTCCACGTCAAAATTTGTTTCGTTGTGTGGGTGTGTGTGGGGGGATGTGTGTGTGTTTGTGTGTGTGTGTGTGTTTGTGCGTGTTTTTTTATTTACTATTGGTTCGATTTTTTTTTTATTTTTAGCAAATCGCGAGATAATGTAGTTACTTTTCCTATCTCAGCCACTTGTACGAATGGAGGCGAAATATTTCTTTGATGATGATTTTGTCGTTCACTTTATTGTTTATTGTGTCAAATAAAAGATAATTAGTCCGTAAGATTTATTGATACACAAATGTAAACACACTAGCTAATTAACTTTTATGTAATTGCTGAATTAATTCTGAAGCAATATCGAAGGTGTAATTTTGTATCTGTAGGTGCATTAGAGTTAAGGAGAAAACGAACCTTTGAGTGGATGTTTGCGTTGTTAAGTATACACGTGTATGTGACTGTTGTGTGTGTCTGTTGTGTGTGTCTGTTGTGTGTGTCTGTTGTGTGTGTCTGTTGTGTGTGTATGTTGTGTGTGTCTGTTTTGTGTGTCAGATGTTTGTGTCTTCTCTTTGTGTCGTTTGTGTGTTGGTTGTGCGTCGGTTGTGTGTTGGGGGAGGGGGGAGTCTAACTTCAGCAAATCCATTTTCCATTTTTTCTCAATGTACTGTGAGAACCCATGTTAGTTCACTGCTAATTGGGCGGCCATGTCGTGGTTTTAACTCGGTGATTACATAATTAGATTAGCTTTATAACTTAATTTTACAACTTTTTTACAAGTTCTTTTGCTTGTTGTAAACAGTGCTGTGTAGCACACGCCTGACAACACGTCACGAATAAAAAGAATATCATGTTTAGTGTATAATAAACATCATGCTTTTTTATGCCATAATATTTTGTTTCTTCCGTGTGCGATGTACAACGGCATACTGGTCGATAATATATTTAAAGTATCGCGATACTAACGCTAAACATGAGTCTAACGCGTAATCGTTACAGCGATACCCGCAGGAACAAAACATTATACTGGAAGGTTAGGTTTAAATCTGGTTCATGTTATGTTTACAATATTGTTATTGTTATGTTTAAATCTGGTACATGTTATGTTTACAATATTGTTATTTTTATGTTTAAATCTGTATCATGTTATGTGTATGTGCTCTATCCTAACCGTCAACATTATGTACAAATCTGTATCATGTTATGTGTATGTGCTCTATCCTAACCGTCAACATTATGTATAAATCTGGATAATGTTATGTGTATGTGCTGTCTCCTTGCCCGCCCGTGCTTTAGTGTAATGACATTGATCATCTCCCGCCCTCCAAACAATGTGGCCCTGCATTTATCAGCTTCATCCTGCAAGTAATGGAATCAATGTCCCAATCTGCCCGTACTTGCCCGGGCCCCGTCTGCTAGTATCGCTTGGTTCACTACCCCCGTCTGTACCCCAGCCGTCTTTAACTTCCGTTTCATACTCCGAACCAGCGCGGTCGCATTATGCTAAAAATAAGGCCACCAATCAAATCATCGCTCCCACGGGAGGGTCCATTTGTCTGAGGTGGGAGTCAGGTCCATTATGCAAACGAGACAAAACGCGGAGGGTTTTATGGCGGACTAATACATG